GGCATGTTGAGCAGGCATCGTGCTGTCGACTTTGGCTGAATTGCTCCCTCTTGCATGAAGCTCTCGACTTGCCCCACGCTGGGAAGCGGCTGCTCGCTGGCTGGGCCCCCACTGATGGGACTCGTAAAACCATTCTGATTTCTAATAGACTGGACCCGGCAAAACTGTGCAGCAGCAGCGAGAGAGAGGCCTGGAGTCAGGTGCAACAAGCAAAGTGATCCTTGGGATATTTTCTCCCCTACCCGGCCCAAACTAGCAGCTCAAGTTACAGGAAGGCGCACGTGTTAATTTATTTATTAGATGTACGCCATGTAAAGCTTCCAAGCAGCATCTACCTTTTATTTCTTAAAATATATATAGAGATATATATATTAGCAAAGGTGTGGAGAGAAACCCGTCTTAAGTCTACCTGACAATGCATGACCAAGCAGCGACCACTGCTCTGCTCCTCCTACGCTTCCGGTGGCATTGCCACCACCGCCACACCGCGCTCAGGGCGGCCGCGCCCGTCACTCAGACACTGGCGACTGATGGGGCACCAAATCAGTTCAGCTCAAACTGCCGGCAGTGGGGCCGTTGCCTTAAAAGCCCTTATGAGAAGTACCATATTTTTATATTCACAGAGCCTAAAACCAAGTCTGCCTAATGGAATATTTTTTTCACAGCTTTGCAATAGTCACAGCTGACTGAGTCAACTGTTGTTCTGTAGATGCGGAGAGGGAACAAGGTAAGGGGTAAAGCACAAAACCCTTTTTTTTTTTTATTCTTTTGGAAGTAGTTCTGAATTGCTAACCTGGGCACATCCTTCATCCTTCTCCAAGCTACTTGACAAGTCAGAGAAAAGGGGATTTAGCTTCCTATGTGCAGTGAACCTTATCCCCACACCTCAGTCCAGCCAATATATAAAAGTGAAACAGTCTCAAACTAAAAAAAAAAAAAAAAAAAAAAAAAAAAAGAAACAAAAAGAAAAGAAAAGAAAAGTCACACTGTGCTTAGTCTTTGGTTTCCAAGTTCAAAGGAGGAATCTGCTTCAAAGCTTGAAGCAGAGCCGAGGAGTCGATAGGGGAATGGGCCGGTATGGGAGAAGGGAGTCTCTGGTGCATCAGCAGAGGCGGCGAGATTTTATCAGGGTTCATGAACCCCGTAAGTGCTGCGGCAGAGGCTGGGAGGCTGGGGTACAAGACGGGTACGGACGCCGGGTACCAGCACTTCTCCAGCATGGGCAGGTAGGCTGTTGCGGATGGTGGGATCAAATAGAAAGGCAGGCACAAGGGAGGCTGGTGAGCATGGGGGCCCAGGAAGCTGCTAGAAGAGCCCATCATGTCGCTGCCAAAAGGGCCCTCGTCCTCCGGCGACTCCAGCCTGCTCCTTTTGGCTGGCGGGTCCTCAGTCTCTTGCTTAATAGAGCTTATTCTCTCCTGGACAGCATACTTGAGTTCGGTATCCTTTTTGAAATACTGCTGTTCGGATTTGGAGTCACTTTTCTCCAGCTCTCCCCCGTACCCACTGTCCGTGTCTGTGTCGCTGCCGCTCTGCTCCCCACTAGAGTGAGCAAATGTCCTCTGGATCACAGGCACGCAGTTTTTCCCGTGTCCCTCCGCCGCTTTGGTCAAGGAGACGGGTTTCTCTTTCAAGTCCACCATTTTAGGAGGGATGTCTCCAGACTTGCGGTCGGCTCCGCCCTGGAGCACCTCTGAGGCCATTCGGTGCAGATGGCTGACCAGCTGGGACGACTTCAGGTCCTTGCCGTTCTCGTGCTTTGCCAGGTATTGCAGCATTTCCTTGGCACACATCTGGAAACCGGATCGAAACATTTCCTGGCTGGAATCAAGGTTTCTTGATGACAGGTCACCTGAGGAAACATTAACAGAAAGAAATTAAAAATTAACAATGTGCTAAATAGTTCCATTACCATCTTTGAGGCGGACTGGAGGCGATATTAAACTTCGGTTACAGCACAGCTAGAGAAGTGAACTTGATGGTCAACCTGAATTTTGCATACATTCCCCTGATTTCTGTGTAAGCGTACATTTTTGTCTGAACATCCACCTGTCCGCGTTTACATAACAACTTTAAACTTATTTTTTAGTTCTGTATTTACTGTATATGCCACCTTCAACAGGTGCTGAAGTAGGAGCAAAGCAGTGAGCCAAGCTGGTGCCTTCCCTGGGAAACACCCCAGGAAAGGCAGATTGCACCTCGCCCTTCACCTCCAGGCAGAGAGCTCCTGGAGCACGTCTACCCGCCAGCAGATCCGCCAACCTCAGGCGCTTTTGCTTCAGCTTGAAGCTCTATTGCACTCCCTGTGGCTGTCAGAGCAGTGGAAGGCTCTTCAGAAAAACTAAATTTTACTTTATCAGATTCACGTGAGTGCCACATGTGAAAATAGAAGGAGGAAGTGCATCTAAAGCATGATAAGCTAATATACTGGGTCCCCTCTCTGCCTGCAGAACGCAGCCTAGCTTGCTTATAGGGAGACCTGAAGAAGGTGTCTATAAAAAGCAGATTTGTATGTATGTTCAGAAAAAAACCCCGAACCAACAAAACTGGGTTTGATCCAAAGCTCATGAACACGAATGGGAAGATTTGAATGGCTTTGGAGAGAGCCTCATGGCAAACCTGAGCTTTAAATAAAGCTACTTAAAATCCAATTTAATTTCAAAACAACTCCACAGGGCACTCTACATTGACCATACTGAGAAATGCACCTTTTTTCTGTAAAAGCTCCTAAGCAAAGCAAGAGAAAATGACGGCGATTAAAGGCAAGAACTCCTGCCTCCTCCCTTCTCAGGAACGAAGTGTCACAACTGCATTTCAAAGACTCAGAGAGAAAGTCCATCAAGCGCACGCACGTTCTCACACGATACAAATTGAGTACTCACCCGCTTGTAAACCATTCTGCAAAGCAATTATTTTCTGCTGCTGCTGCTCAATGAGATTGGTTAGTGCTTTCACATGCTTCAAGGTGAGCTCGAGAACCACGGCCTTCTCCAAGTGACCTAGAGTCTGAAAGCAAAGGGACAGGTTGGCATCCGCCGTGGGTTTGGCCACGCACGCAGGAGCCTGACGGGGCTGCCAACGTTTTCCGAATAACAGAGGAAGGACCGGCGTGGTTTGGAGGAAAAGGCTTGCAGGCAGTACTCGACCCTGAACAGTCCAGGACTATAAATGACAATATTCCATGAAAATAACTTAAAAAGCAGGCTCCAGAAAAGCCTATCGCGGAATCCTATGGGCATTTTCGGACCAGCCGCATAGCTCAAAGAGAAGTATTTTATTTATCAGTTCTGCTGCCCCTGCCGGCACCCTGACCTTAGCACAGGGGAGCCCGGCCGGGGGCTGCTCCCGGCCGCAGCGGGGGGGCGAGCCCCGCGGGCAGCTCCCGCGGAACCGGGCAGCTCCCGAAGCCGCCCGAGGACTCTGCTCCCGGGAAAGTTTGGGATGCGTTTACAGCCCGCCTGGGGCGTGCGGACGCCGCGGGGCTGGGACGCGACGGAGGGGGGGGGAGAAA